GTCCACTGCGGGCATTTGTTATGAGCTCTCATCATGTTCCTGTCAGAATATTCAATCGGAGTTTGCACGTATATATCTCCAGGGGATCCGGTCCCAGCTCCCACACAATAACTCCCAACGGTCTGACCAGGGGACAACAAAATAATCATAAATGCCTTGACGCACACGGGTCAACAGCGCATGGGATGATTTCAAAAAATATTTCTGTGTGGGCAAAAAAGTGTCCGCTTTCCTGCACCCTTTCACTTTTGTTTTCATTCTGAGGTCTTTTGGGGACTTTTCAGCCTAACGGTTTCCATAAGTGGTCATCACAATGACTCATACTCGAATAGAAATACGCACGTACCCTAGACTTGCGCAATGGGCTTTGATTCAAATCACACTGTGGTGATTACCAACAGTAGTCCGCAGGACGATTGTAAACTGGAATAACTGCACGTGTTTTTTTTGTCCTGCGGGGAGCGCCTCCTTCCCTTCTCCCCGCCTGACAAGTCAGAATAAACTCGATGCATTTGCAAGCTTCTTTTCAGAGGACTTAGGCAAACTTGCGCGGAAAAGCCACAACACATCGAGGCGGCTTACCACTCTTCTCATTCGCATCACACTCATTCACTCCCTCTCTCGTTCCGAGTCTTACCGGTGCGCACCAGGCAGGCGACGGTGATGATGGTGAGGGGGACGCAGTAGTTCCACACGGTCGCGAAAGCCATCGTTGTCGCTGATATTCCCCTCTGATCTCTTCCTCGGTATTCCTCTTCCTTGGAGAAATCAGAGTGACATGAACCCGCAGGTTCACTCTCCGACAGCGCCTTCAGCGTCTCTCTGTGTGTGTGAGTGAGTGTGTGAGTGCGCGCGCGTGCAGACTGCGTGAACGAGTGTGTGCGTGTTTTGTCAAGCGCTCTGTGCGTGTAGTGGCAGGTCTTTACATAGTAATGCTCTCTCTCTCTCTCTCTCTCTCTCTCTCTCTCTCTCTCTCTCACACACACACACACACACACACTTTCTCTCCCTCGGAATGCCTGGATGTGACGGCTCGGCCGGTTTTTCTTGGTTACTTTGCATTGTAAATATATTTAAAAGCTGCCAATAGGGCGGGCCTGTGTGCGTCTTTCCGACCAATTGCAGAGAGCCGGAGCAGGTGGAGGGGTGTGCGGAGGAGAAAGAGGGGCTGGGCTTTCAGATGAAATTGGCTCTGATGGGCCTGCAAGGGGTGGGGAGGAAGACGGGATGCGTAGTACAATTAATTGAAATCAATTCGCCCTAAATGTGATTGATAACCAACATTAATTTCCCGACGCAAATAACCAATTTATTTCTAATTCAGTTCCACGGGACCGAAAATGATCAGTGTGGCACAATGATAAAGATGACAACAATAAACCAGATGTTTACTGTTTGAAGAGACAATAATGTTGCAGGCGTCAGTCCATTGTGAAGTCAACTGCAATGGCATTAGGCAGATTAATCAGCACACATGTCATGTATTCGGTATTTTTCAAACTGGACCCTATTTGTCTATGTTTTTGTACGAAACACTTTTTGCAAATGGACAAGTGTTGAGGGATAACTGTTTCCCTGTCGATACGTGCTTCCCTTACTTACACCTGAACAAACCCGTATCCCCAACCACCGAGGGAGGCGCTGTCATTTGGTAAACACTATTCTAAGGGGGGACAGTCTTTAATAGAACACTGCAAGCCGCAAAGCATGTCGTCCACTAAAAGTGCTTACTTTGTCACAGACAGGCTCAGACTGTTATTATCTGACAACACAATGGAAAGGATCCTACAGAGAAATAAAATGTTTTTCCTCACCTGTCCCTTGTTGTGTTTGTTATTGTGTCAAGGAGGTCTTGTTGTGAAATCTGATTATCTGGATAGATGGTCCCACTCTTTACAGCATTGTTCCACCGTGGGCCTCATTGGGTCACAGCACCCACGGGAACATCACCAGTCTCCCGAGCTTCCCGGCCCTGTAGCAGCTGGTTCACCCTCCTCTGCCTGTTGCAAACCCTCTTCCTTTAGCTCTTCATCCATACACTCTGGCGCACACAACATCTAACGCACAAGAGGGGATCTACCCAGTTGTTGTCAAACGTCAAGTAGGGGTGGCACCATGGTGGCACTCGCGTTTCAACCGTTGTCTTCCCTTATTAAAGGACGTAAATTGACGGTGAGTGTTGCCTCAATTTAATTACGGTGCAGCCTGAGGGCAGCTTCCGTCTGCGGCACTCTACCTCAATACAGGACCAACTTCAGAAACTGTTGTCCCTACTTGTAAGTTATCACATCAATATGAGGACATAAGGTGAGAATCATTCATTCGTGCCTTATTTATATTTATTGTAAACATGTAGTCTTTTAATACAATCCACCGTTTTTGCTAACATAACGACAATAAAGTTATTGATTGATTGAAATACCGACGTTATCCTTTTAAGGCAGAAATGGGGGCAAACTGACTTGTTTCCTGTATAAATGTATTTGTTACTGATTGTTTACCTATGAGGCGGAGGAAATGATTGACTCACTGACAAATTAGAATATGAGCAGCTGTCTTCATGCGTCTTGAGATTAGGGGGCATTCTGTTGCAGAAGGTGCTTTGTCTCCAAAGTACGCATATGACTCATCAAGGAGAGCAAGGGAGGGACCTGAGAGCATTCGGTTAAATCACCGTTTCGCAATGACGGTAATGGCCCGGAACAAAAACTTGAGCCCCGGACGAACCAGAGTTTCTCCTCATCTGTAGTCAGGGCCTATTAGGTCCCTCTAAAGAGGCTCTTTAACTTTGCCCTCATGCTGTGGCCACAGTTTGCACATGATTGTGTTTTCCAGTCAGAGCGCACTGCTCCATTATGAAAATTGTTTCTCTTTCCACATCTCTTTTTTTTTTCCTTCCCTGCTAATCTAGTGTTGTGCCATGGGTTTGAAGCCTCCCAGGCGTTTTAAACTATCTTTGGCGCCCCCTTTAGGTAAATTTGGAGATAGCATGTCATGGGTTTCAAATCTGTTTAGGCCACTCTCTCATCTGACACGAATCCTGACACTTCGGTCAGTTTGGTTCAAACAGTCAGAAAAGTTGAAACAGGCAGTAAAGCATCAAAGCTGTCTATTAGCATTAGTATAAATATTCCTACCCTCGACTCTTCCATGAGGTTGCTTTGAACTCTCGGCTCACATCTGACCTCTTTTGCATAGATCTGTGTGAAATCTTTAAGTCTCTGCTTCAGGCTCTCTCTCTCTCTCTCTCTCTCTCTCTCTCTCTCTCTCTC